GATTGAACGCTCTGGCAAGGGGCAGGATAAAGTTGCTTGGCTTCCACCCTTGGTGTCTCAGTGTTTGTGATCTTGGGAATCCTCACGAGCTTGAAACAATGGCAGATTATCTGTTCTCATAAGATGTGTACCTGGAGATTTTTTTTGATCTGTGTTTAAAAGTCTTCCTTGAAAATACAACTGACAGAGAACAATGGAAAAAAAAGAAAAAGGGGGAAAAAAAGAAAAAAAGCAAATACAAAGACAAAAAGGAAGAAAAAAGGGAAAAAGGAGAAAAAAGAGAAAAAAAAGACAGAAAAAACAGGAAAAAAATGAGACAAATAATTAAAAAAAAAGAAAAAAAGAAAAAAGAGAAAAAAAGAAAAAGAGAAAGAAAAATGGGGAAAAAAGAAAGCAGAAAAAAAAAGAAAGAAAAAAGAAAGAAGAGAGAAAAAAGAAAAGACAGAAAAAGAAGAAAACCGAAAAGCGTATTATCCTCACTCCGCTCACGTGCAAATGGCCGCTGTGACCCGCCGCAGGGACTACAACTCCCGTGGTGCCCCGCGCGGGGCGCAGGCGCGGCCGTGGCCGTGCGGGGGCGTGGCCGCGCGCTGATTGGCTGCGGCGGTGTTCTCTAAGCGCGGTGCGCGCGCAGAGCGCCGTGTTGACTTCCGGGAGTCGTTGATGGCGGCGGGGCCCGCATTGTGCTGTAAGAGCTGGCGGGGGGTGCGGGAGAGCGGGGTCTGGGGATCCCCTCGGGGGCTGCGGGGAGCGCGGCTGTGGGTGGAAAGGCTGGAGGGCTCGGGAGGGTTTGGCGGGGGAGTTCGGGGGTTCCCGAGGGTCAGAGCGCGGGGCCTTGGAACCCTCTCGGGGGCCGCGGGGCCCGGGGGCCTCCCAAGAACCCGGATGTTCGATTCGATTCCGAGAAAGTCCCTCGGAAAAAAACATCAAAACCACCCAACAAAAAAAGAACCCTAAAAAAGGGAAAAGTGAGAAAAAGGTGAAGGAAAAACTGCAAGGGCCAGGATGATTTTATTGCTTTGCTTCAGTTTTTCCTTGGTCTCCTCCTTCTCAGATTCTTTGCTCCCTTCCTTTACAGAAAGCTGTTCTGCTGTTGTGTGGTTTTGGGGTCCCTTAGGGGCTTTTAGGGGTCGCTGAGGAGGTTTTGGGGGGTCTGTGAGGGGGTTTGGTGTCCTGAGGGGACTTAGGGTGGAGGTTGAAGGTCCCTGAAGGAGTTTGGGAATCCCTGAGGGAGTTTTGGAGTCTCCAAGGGAATTGGGAGGTCCTGGGGGTCTTTGAGGGAGTCTTTGAAGCAGTTTTGAGAGTTTCTAGGGGGATTTCGGGAGTCCCAGAGGGTTTTGAGGGCCCTTGAAGGGGTTTATGGGGTCCCTGAAAGGGCTTAGGGGGTCCCAGGTGGGTTTTGCAGGTCACTGAGAGGGTTTGGGGGTCCGGGGGGGGAAGTTGATGTCTCTGAGGAGATTTGGGGTGTCCTTGATGAGGTTTTGAAGAGTCCAGGGGTGGATTTCTGAGGGGAATTCAGGAGTTTTGAGTCTCAGGACTCACCTATTCATGGTGCTGCCCTTCCTGATTCCCCCCAGACATCATTAGCCACCCCAAATGTCTCCTAACCCCCCTTTTCCCTTTAATCCCCTTCCCCCACAGTTCCCTTTTAACTGCCCCAAATGCACCCAAAGCCCCCCAAAACCCCCCAAATCTCCATTCAACCCCCTCAGATCCCCCCAAATCTCCCCCAACCCCCCATCAAATCCTTTCTGCCTCCCACCCTAAAGAGGGATCACCGGGCACCCTGGGACAGGAACACAGTGGGCTGTACTGGGGGCACTGGGCTGTACTGGGAGAGCACTGGGGGGGCTCAGGTGTCCCAGGACAACGTGGCCCAGCTCCAGGAGAGATCTGGGGAGCAGTGAGGGGGTACTGGACTGTACTGGTCTGTACTGATCTGTACTCCTCAGTCCCCAGAGCCCCTCCCCAGCTCCCCCAGGACCCTCCCTCACCCCAAAGCCCCCCAGGCCCCCCCAGGCCCCTGACTTGGTCCTGCTGCCCCTTGAGCATCTGCAGCTCCTGCAGAACCAGGCATTTCATCAGCAAATGTGCAGGTGACCCCTGGGGTGTGTTGATGTGCTGGAAGGCAGGAGGGCTCTGCAGAGGGACCTGGCCCAGCTGGATCCATGGGCTGATTGCAAGGGGATGAGGTTCCAGCAGGCCAAGGGCCGGGTCCTGCCCTTTGGCCACAAGAAGCCCCGTCAGCCCCCCGGGCTGGGGCCAGAGTGTCTGGAGAGCAGGCAGGCAGAAAGGGAGCTGGGAGTGGGGATGGACAGGAAGCTGAAGAGGAGGCAGAGTGTGGCCAGGTGGCCAAGAGGGCCAGTGGATGGTGGCCTGGCTGAGGAAGAGTGTGGCAGCAGGAGCAGGGCAGTGATTGTTGGGCTGGACTGAGCGCTGGTGAGGCCACCCCTGGAGTGCTGTGTCCAGCTCTGGGCCCTGAGTTGAGGAAGGCCCTGGAGGGGCTGGAGCAGGAGCAGAGAAGAGCAGCGAGGCTGGGGAAGGGAGTGGAGCACAGGTGGTGTGAGGAGAGGCTGAGGGAGCTGGGGGTGTTGAGGCTGGAGAAGAGGAGGCTCAGGGGAGACCTCCTGACTCTCTGCAAGTCCCTGCCAGGAGGTTGGAGCCAGGTGGGGGTGGGGCTGTTGTGCCAGGAAGCAGCAGTAGGACAAGAGGGCTGGGTCTGGAGCTGTGCCAGGGGAGGTTTAGGTTGGATATTGGGAAGGAATTTTTTGCTGAGAGAGTAATGAGGCCTTGGAATGGGCTGGGCAGGGAGGGGGTGGAGTCCCCGTCCCTGGAGGTGTTGAAGGTGAGAGTGGATGTGGCCTCAGTGCCATGGTCTGGGAAGCACAGCGGGGTTGGATCCAGGGTTGGACTTGATGATCTCGGAGGTCTTTTCCAACGTGGCTGATTCTGTGATTCTGTGATTGCCATTCCTGTGGCAGCACATGCTTGAGGCTCCATCCCCAGGGTGATAGAGATGTCTGTCCATATCTATCTGCAAGGTTAGTCTGTAAATGTGTGGTGTTAGAAAAGCAGGCTGAGTTCTGGGCTGGTTGTAGAAGGAGAAAGAAGCCCCCAGGCCAGTGCAAGCAGGCAGCCCTCAGCTTGCACCTGATGTCCCCTCCCTGCAGGTTCCTGTCCTTGAGCCCAGGCCCTGAGGTGAGGCTGAGAAGTGGCGCGGAGGTGAGCCCAGAGCTGTCCCTGAGGTGAGGCTGAGAATAAGTGCAAGGCAGAGGTGCTGCTGAGGAAGGAGAGCCCCGTGGTGGGGAAGGCACAAAGCTGTGTGTGCCCATCCCCGAGCAGGTGCTGTGTCCATCCCCTGTGTGCCAGGTGAGCTGGGGCTTTGCTGCAGAGCTGCGGGCGCTGATTTGAGCGGCTGCAAGTGCTGAGATGGTGGGCACCCAGGAACACCAACTGTGCCTGGCCACGGAGCCTGCAAGGAGGAGCAGAGACAGCCCTGGCAGTGTGGGGGGCCAGGTTGTCCCTGTGCCTTCCCCTGCAGGCCCTGGCTGTCCCTGCTGGGCCCCTGTCCATCCTCCCCTCAGGTCCCTGCACACCTACTCTCCAGAGCTTGACTCACTGCAGCCTTTGCAGGGAAATCTGTGCTGGCAGCTGCATCCTGAGCCCGAGGGCCGTTTGTATCCCCGAGTGCTGATCCAGCCTGGGGACCCAAGGGATCCTCTGCCATTCCATCCATGCAGCAGGAGTCACCCTGCTGCCCTTGACTCCCTGCAGAGGAACAAGTGCCCTCTCTCTGTTTGGGAGAAGCCAGATGCTGCCCCTGGGCCATCAGAAGTGGTGCTGAAGCCTCTTTCAGCCCAGCCCCGGGTGCAGTTTTCTCATCCCCTCACCGAGTGCCCGCTGCCCCAGCCGGCACTGACCAACCAGGGCGTTTGGCACATGTGGTTTGGTGATTTGGAGAAACAGCCCCAGGCTGGCAGGGGGCCAGAGGACCTCGAGGAACAGCCCTGGCGAGGTGCCTGCACTGTCAGGGGGCCAGGGGATCGCTGCTCCACGGAACCGGCTGGAGCTCTGGGTGAACCTGAGCTGAAGGGCCTGTGAGCTGTGGATGAGTCCAGGATGGAGCAGAGACCCCCCTGCAGCCTGGGAGGAGCCCACGCCAGAGCAGGGGATGCCCAAAGGAGGCTGAGAGCCTGTGGGAAGCCCCTGCAGAGCTGTGGGAGCAAAGCCCTGATTTCCAGGGCTGCCCCCGTGCCCCAACTTGGTTTAAGAAGAGTTTTTTTGGGCTAATTTTTAATATTTTATAGTATTTTTTAGCTGAATCTCATTTTTTTGCAGTCTGGGGGAGTGGGGGACTTCTTGCTATTTCTGAGGGGTTTTTATCTGAATCACAGTTGTTTGGGTTTTTCTGGGCTGATCCTTGGTGTTTTGGAGGTTTCTATGGTCACAGGATGCCCAATGAGTTTTAGAGATGGACTTGGGCATTGGGAACCCCCAAGCCAACGTGCTCAGCCCTTGTTTTCCCCCCATCAGGATTTGTCCTTCCCAAAGCTTGGCCAGATGAAGGAGGCTGCGAGGAAGAGGAAGATGCCTTGGTCCCCCCAGGCAGGTGAGGAGGAAGTCAGTGTCCCTTTGGGCGGGTGTTGTGCTGGCTCTGTCAGCCGAGCATGGCCCCGGCTGCAGGACAACCCCGCTGGCGCCGCCGTCCTGCCGGGGCCGGAGTTGGGGGGATGTCCTTGGCCTTCCCTGTGGGCCGGAGGCAAATCCCCTGCCTGTCCTTCTTGCTTCCTGCCCCAGGCCCCGAGCTGAGGACGGAGAGCCCGGAGGACAAATCCCCCCGGCAGAGCCTGGTGGGAGAGGCCGTTTTGAAGGGCTCCCCGGCGCAGGAAGGCAGCGGGGAGGAAAAGGGCCGGAGATCCCCCCGCAGGAGGGGCTCCAAAGCCAGCCCAGGGTGCTCTGAGGAGGAAAGAGCCAGCCTGTGCCGGGAAGGCGGCCGGAGCTTGAGGGGGAGCTCTGAGCTGGTGGTCCCTGAGCAGCCTCCCAGTAGGGAGAAGCCCTTCAAGTGCTTGGAATGTGGGAAGAACTTCAGGCAGAGCTCCAACCTTCTCCAACACCAGCACATCCACAGTGGGGAACGGCCCTACCCATGTAGGGAATGTGGGAAGAGCTTCAGCCGGAGCTCCCACCTGATCCGACACCAGCTTATCCACACCGGAGAAAGGCCCTACACCTGTAGGGAATGTGGGAAGAGCTTCAACTGCAGCTCCCACCTGATCCGACACCAGCGCATCCACACTGGGGAACTGCCCTACAGGTGTGGAGAATGTGGGAAGAGCTTCGGCCAGAGCTCCAACCTCCTCACCCACCAGCGCACCCACACTGGGCAATGGCCCTACACGTGTGGGGAATGTGGGAAGAGCTTCAGGCAGAAGTCCCACTTCCTCATCCACCAGCGCATTCACACTGGGGAATGTCCCTACACATGTGGGGAATGTGGGAAGAGATTCAGGCAGAGCTCCCAGCTGAGCCAACACCAGATGATCCACACTGGGGAACGGCCGTACAAGTGCTTGGAGTGTGGGAAGAGGTTTCGGACCAGCTCAGAGCTCCTCGTGCACCAGCGGACGCACACGGATGAGAGGCCCTTCCGCTGCACCGACTGCGGGAAGGGCTTCAACCGTAACGGGAACCTCATCACCCACCGGCGCATCCACACTGGGGAAAGGCCCTACAAGTGTGGGGAGTGTGGGAAGACCTTTGCCCACAGCTCTGGCTTGACCTACCACCTAGGGACCCACCGGTAAGGGAAGCCCTGGGAGTGCCCTGACTGCGGGAAGAGCTTCGGCCGCTGCTTCCACCCCTGAATGAACCCCCTGATGGGGAGGCAACCCCTGGAGTCCAGTGACTGTCAGTCCATCCCTTTTGACCAAAAAGGGCCAGTCCCCTTTCACAGGGGCAGCTTCTTCCAACAGAACCCTTCCTGGGGGGTGTGTGGAGATTCCTGCCTTGGCTGGGGACCCCCCCTGGTCACTCCTGGAGATTGAGAGCAGAGATCTCCCCCCGAGTGTTGGTCTGGGGGAGTTCCATCCATCTCCAATTAATAATCATTGCTTTTGTGCCAGCTTTAGTAGAATTGCTTCAACAATTGCTTTCATGTAGAGCACTATCCTATCTTATCCTGTGCTCCTGGTTGTTTTAGTGTTTCTATTGTGCAGTAAATAATTCTAATGAAGATCTTTTGTCTGATCATTTGTAACCCTAAATAATTCCTTTCTATCAATAGATGTGATTTGCCATCATTAAAATCTGGGAGACAAAGCTGGTTCACTCACACCTCTGTAATTCCTCTAAACTGAAAGTGTTGGCAGGATCCAAGGCTGAGATTGGATCCAGCAGCCCCTACAACCCCACAGGAAGTTGGGAGCTCAGGGGGATCACCCCCTTTGCCAACTCCCCTGTGCCCAAAGACCCCCATGGGACTGTCAGACCCGCCAGACCACCTCCCCTTTTCCACCCTTCTCCCTGTTCCTCCCATTTTCCCATATTCCCATCAATCCCCAGTTTCCCTCTAAACAGTTTTGGGGGCCCAACCCCCACTTTTTACCCCCTCTCCTGTGGGCGCTGAAGGAGAAAATGAGGCTGCACACACAGAGTTCCATTGCGGGACTTGTCTGTCAACGTTTTTCAGTGTCCCCTTTTATTCCTCTTCTCTCGTGAGCAGCACTTGGTGTTTGTCTTCTAGTCCACCGGAATTCCCAGCATGGCCCCAAAGCAGTGCCCTGACCCCACACATTCCCCTCCCCTCATGTGCTGGCTGTGTTCAGCCTCCAGAGGAAAACAGGCTGGTCATGCAGGCTGGTTCAAGTGCATTTCCGCTTGGAGGAACAACCTTCTCTCTCTCCAAGCACTCAGCCAAGGTCCATCCTCCCTTTGCATTCCCATGAACTCAGGGCAGGTGCAGAGTGACTCCGCTTGGTCCCACCTCTGCCCCTGTTCTGTTTGGACACGCAGAGTTCACGGCCAAGAGGGCCAGGACCCGGGCTTCTTGTCTTCTTGTCCCATGTGCTCCCAGAGGACTCGGAATATTGAAACCAGGCAGATTCTGAACCCCTGCTCCTGGTGCTGCCACAGTGCCCATACAGTGGCACTGCAGGCATGGCCTGCACTGAATGGCCAGTGCAGCAGGAGCCGTGGCTGCGGCAGCTGCCGGGATTGCTGCAGAGATGATCCAAGCAATCAGCCACCCACTGAGGATTTCTGCATTTCACAGTTTTCTTAATTCACTGTATCCTGCCTCATCCTCCCAGCTTCTGCTTAGGTTCCCTGGGAGCCACAGTCTGGCTCTTCTGCCCATGGGAATTATTAATGATAAATGGAGGGTAGGTACGTTTTGATCTGTGATACAACTAAAATAACAAGGATTACTTACAGGGATGTTAAAGGTATTGTCAGTCACATGAATCACAACGTCAGGTGCGGCCAAGAAGGGATCTGAGTGACAGGGACACACCATGGCTGAGTCATTAAGCCAGTCAGGAAGAGTCAGTAGACCCAGTGAATTCCCCCTAGAACAGTGTCTTCCTGATGGGACATCTGGGCAGGGCTTGCTCTGCTCAGCATTCCCTGCCTGCTCCCGGGATTCTTGAGGGACAGCCTCTGGCAAGTCCTGGCCCAAGGAGACCTGCCACCACCCCAAGTCCTGGCAAGGGTGCTGCCCGTCTCCTGCCCCAAAGAGCTGTGCCCCTGGGGGACTTCTCTGCCAGAGGGCAGCCAAAGCCAAGGGGCACTGAGGTCTGCCCTCTTGCAGGTGGCTGTTGGGAGCGGCAGCTGGAGCAATTGGTGGCAAGACTTGGCATCTGTCAGAAGGCAGAAGCTGTTGCTCCTTCCTGGCATGATTTTTGGGTGGAAGTGATTAGCAGCAGCACAAAGCCACCATCAGCTGCCGAGTTTCACAGGACAATTAGATTGGACAGAGAGACTCTCAAGGTTTTTGTGTTCTTTTTGCTTGTTTTCTTGCCTTCTGGAAAAAAAATCAGCCCAGTCTTGCATGTTCAACACTCCAGTGTCTGTGCTCAGCTGTGGCCAGCAGCTGATGTCCAGTCCATTGGGGAAGTGCAGGGGACAGGGAGAAGTCTGGGATGAGAAGCTTGTTCTGTGTCTGCCATGAAGGTGCCACCCACCTGAAGGAGCAGCCAAGAGAAGTGCTGGAAGCAGAGACGTTCTGCCAGTTTCTGCTCTCAGGTGGACACAGGGCCCACTTGTTGCCAGGGATCCCGGAGATTGGATCTGGGAACAAGGCAGGGCCATGCACTGGTAGGGAATGGGCTCCAGCAGGACCGAAGCAGGAATGTCCAGCAGCAAAGTGTGAGCTGGTGAACTGGGCCATCTTTTCATCAGACACCACAGTGCTTACTTCCCTCCATCCCTGAAGCTCCACCACATGAGGCTCTGCTTTGTTTCAGCTTCTGCTGCTTCTTCCTTTGTTGCCCTCAAGTGCTGGACGTAGAGTTTAGAAGCCCATGCCCATGTTTTGAAGGTGCCTGCGTGGAGGAGAGGTTGAGCAGCTGCAGCCCGAGGCTGGTGTCCCAGCAGAGTCTCTAAGGATGGTACCAGTGGCACTGGCTGGGGACAGCTGAGTGTGGAAGGTGTGTCCAGCCTCAAGCAGGGCCATTGAAGTCAGTCAGGATGTCAGGCTGCAGCTGAAGCTGCCAAGGGTTGCTGTGAGGCTGGGGAGTCACTGGAAAGCTGTGGTGGCCACTTGCCCTGAAGCCTTTTGCCAAAGCGGGTGCAACTGTGCCCACAGTCTGCCCACTTTTGATGTCTTGGCGAGTGTGGGTGCCTGGGTGAGGAGGCCCAGGCGTTGTGAGTGCTGCTGCTCCTGGGCAGCCTCTGGTGCTGTTGTCTGTGGGATGAGGAGCTGCTTGGGCAGCAGCGAGTGCGCAGCCCTGCCCGAGGAGCCCAGCACCCTGCCCGTGGTGGCAGCAGCTCTGTGGGCCCAGAGCTCTGGCTCAGGGGGGTGTTGGCCACAGCCCCGTGGCCTGGGCAGCCGCGGGGGCCCGGGCTGGCCGCCAGCCCTGCCTGTGCCACTGCCCCTGGCCGGCAGCACCCGGCGGACGTGCCCCGGCAGGGCCCCCTTGCCCTCCTTGTCCCCAGCCAGGCCAGCCTGGCCCCCTTGGGGGTGTGCCCACCCTGCTGCTGAGGTCTGGCCTCCAGGGCTTCTGCCACAGGGCTGGGAGAGGCCTTGGGAAAGCACCAGAGCAGCCGGCTGGCAGGGAAGGAGGTGGCTGCCTGGGGGCTGCTTATGGCCTCTGCCCCCCCCAAGTCCTGGGGGCTTTTCCCTCCACCCTGCCCCTTGGGGCCTGCGCCCAGTCTGTCCCCTCACAGCCTTCTACCACCCACCCCCTCCCAGATTCCCCTCAAGGCTTCCCTCTCCCTTGTCCCATCAGGGCCTCCACAGCACCTCACCCCTTCCTGGCCTCCCAGCGCCCCCTCCCCTGCTGGTCTTTTGCTGGCACGCTGCACAGCGGGGCAAGTGTTGCTGAGCACAGGGAGCTATTTTCCCCTCTTCCCCAAGGCCCTGTGCACACTGGGCACCAAAAAAAAGCTCCTGGGCCTCTGTGCATGATAACATGTTGGTCATGTTCCCATGCTGGGCTCAAAGGAGGTGCTTGCAGGGAAGAGGCATCTTCCCCACAGGCTCAGGTGGCTCCAGGAGATGGAGCTTCCTGCATCAGTTCTCCACAGAGCTGCAGCAGCACAGGCAGACACTGCCCTGCGGAAAAGGCCGGGTCTTCCACGCCCTGCACAGCCAGTCTTGGAGCTGCTGGAATCTGCAGTAGGGAGCCATCTGTACAGCTCTTGGCACGTAGCAGTGTTGAATTGCCAGGCCTGCCATGGCGAGTCTGATGTCATCTGTCACACCTCTATGGGCTGGAAGAGGCAGCAACGGAGACTACCAGAATGGGAAGAATGAAGTTCTCCGTACAGCTCTGATGATGTGGAGCGTTTCAATGGCCAGGTTTGAGACAGCAGGGCTGTCATCAGTCATGCCTTGAAGGGCTGAAAGAGAAAGGAAGAGAGCCAAGGTGAGAGGCCAGGGGTGTGGGGACGTGAGGAGCCCCTCCTGCCAGGGCCATCCCAGCCAGCTCTTGCCATGGCCAGGAGGGAGCAGAGCCCAAGGGGATCAGATGGAAGGTGCCCTCCCTCACCTTGGCAGATGAGCTGTAGCTCTGGCTGCTCCTGCTTCATGGATCTGGCGGCGATCCCTGGGAACACAGAGCCTGTCAGGGCCCAGAGGCACAGGTCCCCCGCAGCGGCGCTGCCAGCCCGGCCACGCGGCCTCCTGCCCTGGCAGGGCTGAGCCCGGGGCCTTCCCGCATGGGGACACCCCAGGGCTGGGCTGGCACAGGGCGGCAGCAGGCGCTCGGGGCCACTCGGGGCTCCACACGCCCTGGGCCGCATCCTGCTGCCGCTGCAGCAGCCGGGGCTGGGGCCGAGCTGCAGCGGGGCGGGGAGGGACCCCGGCCTTGTGGCTCACCCAGAAACTTGATGGCCAGCTTTCGCAGGGGCTCCTCTGGGCTCTCCAGGAACGGCAGGGCCTGGCGCACGTACTGGCCCACTCGGCTCCTGTCCTTTTCCAGCTGCAAAGAGCGCCAGGGCACGGAGGGAAGGCTCGGCTCAGGCTCTGCCCCTTGGCCGGGCGCTGCCTGCCCCCAGCACGGGGCTCCCCTGCCCGCAGAGCCCTGAGGCCTGGCCAGCAGCTGCTGGGGCCGGGCTTTGGGGGGAGCAGAGGGCTGGGTGCTCCCGGGGAGCCAGGGGCTGGCGCTTTGGGGCCGTCCTTACCAGGCACTCGGGAAACCTCCAGGGCTGCTCCATGGTCACCAAGTGCTCAAGATCCCTCCACTTCAGGAACCTGGCTGCACCAAACAGTGCTCTCTGAGAGGCCTGCACAGCAATAGAGAGTGGGTCATGGCACCGCAGCCCAGGGCACACCACCCGCATCCCCGCGCCAAGGCCAGGAGGAGGCTGCAGGCGACCATGGGCCAGGGCAGGAGGCACAGCAGCCTCCTGCCATGGGGACACCGGAGCCCACGAGTCCTCACCTCTGCCACACGCTGGTTCTCATCGTGCCAGTTGAAGTAGAATGGCACCAGACTCAGGTACACGTGTGGCTTTAGGCTCTTGCTCCTCTCTGTCGCCTCCATCAGCTCCCGGAAGAGGAGCATGGAGAGCTGCTGCAGCTGGCTGTGCTCCTGGTGCAAAGGAAGAGGAAAAGACCTCAGCACTGGCTTCTCCAGGCCCACCGGGGCACAGGCCTGAAAAGACACTGGGCCCAAAGTTTCCTGGCAGCACTCAGTGCCCACGATGAGGGGCACAGAGCCTTACGTTGTCAAAGAGTGGCTGCAGCGCCTCAAGCAACTTCAGGGCTATTGGGCTGGATATTTGGATGATTTTCAAGCCCAGCACATTGATGAACACGGAGAGGGTCATCTGAACCGTATCTGTGTCTTCATCCTGCAGTAGCTCCAGGAGGCTTTCATTCAGGCTCCGGATGCTCTTAGCCTGTGTGGAACACAATGCTGTGGTGCAGCCCCACGCTGCTGCCGCGGGGCCCAGAGGCCAAAGGTGCGTCCCAAAGGAGTCGGGCAGCTGAACGGGGAGGAGGAGAGCTGGGAGCAGCTGCCACAGCTGCCAAAGGCCAGCCAAGGCCAAGCTACTGCCTCGCACAGCCGCACGCTGCCGGCCCGGCTTCAGCCCCTGCCCCCTGCTCACCATTGAGGGAGCCTTGCTGAGCACCACCAGGCCTCGGAGCGCCAGGCGACGCCTCTCCGGGCACTGACTGCGCAGGTGCCTGGAAATAATCTGCAGGACGCTGGGCCCACATTGTCTGGCGTTCAGGCAGTGCAGGACCTGAAAGGCAGGGAGCAGTGACGGGGTGCCCGGCCGGCAGGAGCCCGGACCCGCCCGGGGCTGGGCCCAGGCAGCAGCACAGGGTGCAGGCACCGTCCCGGGCGGCTGCGGCTGTGAGAGGGCAGAGAGGGGGAGGCAGCTGGGCCAGGCAGCGCTCGCCATCAGGCTCACCTCCACCAGGAACGCCAGGGCAGGCAGTTCCCACAGGGGCTCTCCCCTGCTGAGCCGCGGGAGCAGGCTGACGGCGATGGTGCGACCGAAGGAGCGGGAGACACGGCACAGCTCCCTGCAAGGGGGAATAAAGGTGCCAGAGACCCTGAGCCAGGTGGGCAAAGCTCTCCTGGGACTGACTCACACAGGCCTGGTCTTTGGGCACCAGCCCAGGAGAGGACGTGGGCACTTTGGGAGGTGGCTCCTCCTGTGCAGCCGCCCCTCTCCGCCTTTTCCACTCTGCTCAGCCATCCCTGGCTGCCAAGGCCCTCTGGCCCAGCAGCACGGACACTGTGAGGGGTGGCCTGTGCACAGGGCAGAAATGACCTGTGGGGGTGTGGGGCAGTGGGGAGAAAGGGCTCTCACCTGGCCAGCAGACCCACTGCATAGTGGTGGCTGTCAGCCTTGAGGAGCATGTCCCAGCCACACTTGCGACCGATCGCCATCAACACGTCCTCATCCAGCAGCTGGCGCAGCAGGGCTTTAACAGTCTGCACTGCAAACCTGTGTGCAGAGCACAGCCCAGGTCAGGCACAGAGCCCTGGCCCCAGCCCCGAGGGCGTGGCAGGGAGAGGGGACTGGGATGGAGCACCTGTTGGGGTTGGGGGGAAGGCTGCGCTGCTCCCGGCATCGCCTCCAGAAGGTCTCGACCTGCTCTGACATCTCCTCTGTGCTGATGAAAACTTGGAAGAGCAGAGTCAGAAGGAGGCGGGGGAAATTGTCCTTCACTGCACTTGGGCACCAGGAGTGGGACAGCTGGAGGATCTCCCAGAGTGCCACAGTTGCCTGCCAAAGACAAAGCACCCAGAGACAGCTCTCAGGGCCCAGATGTCCATGTGGCAGGGCCCAAGCGTGGCAGGGACAGGCCAGAGGAGACACAGGGGGATCCCCCAGCCTGGTGTCCCTGAACCTGCCCCTAAGCCAGGCTTGCAGCCCAGTGCCTGGGGCAGGGAGAAGCAGTGGTGAGGGAGGATGGAAAGGCGTCCCAGAGGCAACCTAGGGGCGAGCAGAGGCCAGCTCAAGAAACTCACAGCCAGGGCAAAGACATCCCTCTCATCTCCATCAGAGGTGCGTCTCCTGTGCGCTGGCCAGTATTCCAGCACATGGAAGAGGATCTGCAGCACCGGCTCCTTAGTCCCTCTGGAGGAGATGAGCGTCTTCCACATGGTGCGAGCAGCTCTGTGGAGTCACAACTCTGGCTCAGGGGGGTCTGGGACACAGCTCTGTGGCCTGGGCAGCTGTGGGGCCCAGGTGACAGAGCCACGGTTCCTTGTGGGGCAGGGAGGCAGGCTGGCCTCAGGATTGGAGGCTGACATGCCAAAGCTGGCAAAGAGAGGAGCTGGAGTGTCCTGGAAGTCTCCATCTCTCTGGCACCCCATTTGGGACAGGCTGTCCAGGGGGATGGGGTCTAAAGGCAGGTGAGCCTCAAGGCAGGTGGGCCCCATACCTGTCACAGGCTGGGGCAGAGCGCAGCAGGGTCACTGCAACATCCGTGGGGTGTGCCTCGGTCAGCAGGACAAGAGTCTTGTCCAGCCTGTGCTCATCAGACACATTGGATGTGAGCCACTGATGGATGCACCTGACTATGGCCGGCACCTGGAGGGGACATGGGGGACAGCTGGAGAGCTGCCAGAGCCAGCAACTTGCCCAGCTTCCCCCAAGAAGTGCTCCCCTTGCCACCACACTCTGCTGGTCTCAAAGGCTGAGGGGACCCAGAGCAGCCGACGTGAGGGGCCACAGCATCCCTGGGGCACTGGAGCCCTGGCCACAGGCTGCTTACTTGCTTCGCTTTGTAGACACCGTTCTCCACAAGCATATCCAGCAGGGCAGCGCTGGTCTGGGCATTGAAGAGGTCCGAGTTTGCCGTGTCCCCAGTGGCCATGAAAGTGGCCTCTTCATGCCAAATGCACCTGATGAATCTGCAAACCAGCTACAGGAGAAAGGCAAGGAAGAGAGAGGGATGTCCCCTGGAGGGCTGCGACAGCGGTGCTGGGCTGAGCAGTGAGAGCAGGCCCAGCCCAGGCGGGGATGGCTGCAGGTACCTGTGCTGCCCTGCGGAAGCGGCCACAGGCACGGAGCTGCTCTTCTGTCCGCTCCTGGCCTGCATCTGGCAAAGAGCGAGCGCGCTCAGAGCTGAGGGTGTGCGGGAGAGGCCGGAGAACACAGCCCAGGCCTGGGCTCCAGGAGCAGGCAGGGCCAGCCCCGGGATGCCCAGTGGATGGAGCACGGCTGCCAGGAGATCAGCCCCGGCCCCTCTGCCCCCCTCCCTTTCCCTGGGCATGTCCAGAGGGGATGGGACAGGATGAGGCCAAAGGGGCTTCAGCCACCAGCCCTGTGGCCCAGCTCCAGCACTCACCCTCCTGCGGGGGCTGCACCTGCTGCACCTCTTCAGGCTGCTGTGTTGGAGCAGCCCCAGGGCTTTCCTCCTTCTCCTCCTCCTTCACCCAGGCCAGCTTGGGCACCGTGGGGGGCCTCTGCTGCACGTCTCCGTCTGGCGTTATGGCTACCTGCAGCAGAGATGCCATGGAAAAGCTTTGGTTCCCCAAGTCCTGCAGTCGTGCCTTCAAGGCAGCTGCAAGAGAGAAGCCTGGGAAATGCCTCGCCTCATCCAGTCCCACTGTCTGGCCTCGAGGGCACCTGCCCCAGGGACTGGAGATGCCTTGAGCAGCCCCAGGTCCCCAGGTCCCACAGTCTGGCCTGGAGGATGCACAGGGGAGAGGTGGAGAGCTGCCAGAGTTAGATACTTGCCCAGCTTCCCCTGAGAAATGCTTCCCTTCCCAGCACACTGTGCCAGCCTCAAAGGCTGAGGGGGCCCAGCGCACCCAGCTTGGGGGGCCACAGGCTGCTTACTTCAGCAGAGACAGCTCTCTCCTCAAGAAACTCCAGGCTGGGGGTATCGGCCAGGCGCTGAACAGGTGCGGCGTCAGTGCTCGCCACGCCCTCCGTCGTTGTGGCATCGGCCTCCTCCGTGAGCCCAGGCAGCACAGAGTCACAGTGTGACACATCATCGGTCGATGTGGTGTCCCAGTGGGTTGTGTGATCACTGGTTGTGGTGTCACACTTTGCTGGGACAGCAGTCGACGCGGTGCTGACATCAGGCTTTGTCAGCTGGGTCGGGATGGTGTCAGGCTGGGCCTGGACATCAGCTGGTGTGATCCTGGCCTTTCTACGCCGACTGCCCATGAATTTCATAAATGTCTGCAGGAGAAAGAAGGGCAGGGAAGAGAGGGATGTCCCCTGGAGGGCTGCGACAGCGGTGCTGGGCTGAGCAGTGAGAGCAGGCCCAGCCCAGGCGGGGATGGCTGCAGGTACCTGTGCTGCCCTGCGGAAGCGGCCACGGGCACGGAGCTGTTCTTCTGTCCGCTCCTGGCCTGCATCTGGCAAAGAGCGAGCGTGCTCAGAGCTGAGGGTGTGCGGGAGAGGCCGGAGAACACAGCCCAGGCCTGGGCTCCAGGAGCAGGCAGGGCCAGCCCCGGGATGCCCAGTGGATGGAGCACGGCTGCCAGGAGATCAGCCCCTCTGCCCCCCTCCCTTTCCCTGGGCATGTCCAGAGGGGATGGGACAGGATGAGGCCAAAGGGACTGCAGCCACCAGCCCTGTGGCCCAGCTCCAGCACTCACCCTCCTGCGGGGGCTGCACCTGCTGCACCTCTTCAGGCTGCTGTGCTGGAGCAGCCCCAGGGCTTTCCTCCTCCTTCTTCCTCCGGAACAGCCTGAGCAGGCTGAAGCGTCTCCCTGCCATGCCACAGTCTGGTGTCCAGGGCACCTGCAAGAGAGAAAGAGAACCTCGGAGAAACTCCGGGCCCTAAGTCCTGCAGAATGGCCTGGAGGCCACCTGCCGCAGGGATTGGAGACACCTCGGAGAAGCTCCGGGTCTCCAAGTCCTGCAAAAGGGTTTTGAGAGCACCTGCCACAGGGCTTAGAGACACCTCGGAGAAACTCCGGGTCTCCAAGTCCTGTGGAAATGCCTCGAGGTCACCTGAAAGTGAGAAAATCCTCCAAAACGCTCCGGGTCAGCAAGGCACGAGTTGGCTGCGCGGGGGCTCCGCACAGCACCGCTCTGTCCCGTCCTGTCCCGTCGCCTGCTCCGAGGAGCACTGTTGACACTGTGGCCGTGTCACCAGCAGCACCTCTGTCACCGCGGGTCATAAAGGGCCCTTGGACACCCTGCCCCCTTCCATCCCACCGGCCGTGCCCAGCGTGTCACAAAGGGCCCTGGGACACAGTGCCACGTGGCCTGGGGCCTCCCCCAGCCCCGCCAACGTGCCCCACCTTGGAGGGAATCCACTCTCTGAAGTATCTAATCTGGCTGGACCTGAACTGTAGGAACGGCTCAAGAAATGAGCAAACACTCCCCTCCTGTGCCTGCTCACGGCAGCACAAGGAGCCCCCTCGGCCGCCGACTCAGCCACAGCGGGAAGGGCACGGGGCCTTCCACACAAGCTGGCACGGCCTCCTTGGGAGAAGTGCTGGCTGGTGGCCATCCTAAACAGGGGGGCTGACACCGAGAAGGAAGGTGTGGGCAAGGGCACCAATGCTGCTGGGAGCCCTTTGGCCAGGGCTGCACCCAAATCAGCAGTTTTGGCAAGTCCTGGCCAGAGGAGACCTGCCACCGCCCAGAGTCCTGGCAAGGCTGCTGCCCATCTCTTTCCCCAAAGAGCTGTGCCCCCATGTATTAGTTTGTTTGAATACATGCCCGGAATAAAGACAAGGACAACAGACATTCAAACACTTGAAAATAAAATATATTATAAAAAATAATATATATTATATATAATATATATATAATATATTATAAAAATATATTATAAATAATATATATAGTATATTATTAAAATAATATATTATAAAAAATATAATATAATTACTTTCTGACCCCTCTATTCTCCATCGATTATCTAAGTCAAAAGTACACCCTTTACAACTGCTTATAGAACCCACACACCCTATAGGCCCCTGTGTGCCCCTATAGACACCCTTTGCACCCCTATAGACACTCCCAAGGCCTACAGACCCTCACCATTGACACCCACTCCTATAGACCCTCCTCACTTGTCCCTGGTGATTCAGGTAATAGAAATATTGGGGTGGTGTGTGAGGCTTTGTAAGGGTTGTGGGTTCTATGGGGGGGGGTGTCTGTAGGAGTCAGGGGGGTCTAAAGGGGTTGGGGTGTCTATAGGAGGGCTGAGGATCTCCAGGGCGGGCGGCAGCCTAAAAAGTTCTATAGGTGCCTATAGCCATTCCCAACATGTCTGTAGTGTCCTATAGGTGTCTATACCCGTTCCCTGGGTTTCTATAGGGTTCTATAGGTGCCTATACCCGTTTCCAGGGGTCTATGTGGGTGGGTGGGTGTCTGTAGGGGTGCAGAGGTACCTGTAGGGTTGTACAGGTGTCTGTGCCCGTTCCCGGAGGGGTGGGCGGTTTCTATAGGGTTCTATAGGTGCCGATCCCAGGGGGGCCCCACTCCTGTGACCCCCTGGCCCTTCCACAGCCGGTTCCGTTTCCCTCCCCCCCCCCGCGGTGCCGCCGCTATTCCAGTCCCCCGTGGTGCCACTTCCGGGTTGTGCCATCTGCCAGGCCTGCTGTCGCCTGTCACGACAGGGGCGGGGCTCTGGGGGCCGGTGTCACCTGTCACGACAGGGGCGGGGCTCTGGGGGCCGGTGTCACCTGTCACGACAGGGGCGGGGCTCTGGGGGCCGGGGTTCCATCAGGAACAGGTGGGGGGGCCTTGAGGGGCATCTGTAGGGGTGTTGAGGGTCTGTAGGGGAGCTATAGGGGGTATAGGGGTGGGTGACTGTGGGGTGGGTCTGTAGGGGTGGCTGTGGGGGGATATATGGGTTGCGGAGGGTCTGTGGAGGTGTCTAGAGGGGGATTGAGGATCTATAGGGGTGGGTGGGGGTCTATAGGGGATCTGAGACCTCTAGAGGTATTGGGGGGGTCTGTAGGGATGGGTGACTATGGGGTGGGTCTGTAGGGGTGGCTACGGGCGGATATATGGGGTGTGGAGGGTCTGTGGGGTGTGGGGGTTACTATATGGGTGAGTGGGATCTATGGGGGGTGTCAGTGTGGAGTCTGTGTGTCTATAGGCGTATGGGGGTGTCTATGGGGGGGTGTCTGTAGGGGTGAGCAGGGTCTGTGGGGGTGCTTTAGGGGGTCTGAGGGTCTTGGGGGGGGTGTGGGGGTGTGGGTGTCTATAAGGGTGTGGGGGTGTCTAAAGGGGGGTTCAGGGTCTATAGGGGTGGGGGGGCTATAGGGGTCTGGGTGTCTATATGAGGGGGGGGTCCATACGGGGGGGTCTGTAGGGAATCTGGGTGTTTATAGGGGTGGGACAGATCCCCAGTGGATCTGTGGGAGATTCCGGATGGATCCTGGATGGATCCCAAGCAGACCCCAAACAGACTCAGGACACACCCTAGACAGATCCCAAACTAATCCCAGGACAGACCTGAGTGTTTTGAGGCTTTTCCCCTCTTTTCCACAGCTTTTCCTGGATGACACCAAAGTGAAGAACTTCATCACCTGCTTCAAAGGTGATGAACCCCCCCAGGCCCCACCCACCAGCCCTAATTAGGGTCTCATCATTAATTAGGATCCAGCTGTTAATTAGGATCCGATCCTTCGTTGGGATTTGATCCTTAGTCGGGATTTGCTCCTTAACTGGGGGAATTGAGCCCCAGGAAGGGGTGGGAAAGGTGGGAACACCCCACCTTGGTCCCTCTCCAGGTGATGCCTTATTTGCATATTAACGATCTCATTAATTATCCCTCACTAATTACTCAGTCCCTTTTTAATTAAGCACCTCCTGCTGTTGAGAAATTCCTGTTTGCTCTTCCTGAATCCAGAGGCAAATCCTCCCTCGTCCCCTTCCCAGATGGTAGCACCTTAAGGAAACACCTGCTAATTCCAGCCCTAATTCCTGGGAGCTGATCCATGAATCCCTCTATGCCAGGGAGCCTGGGAGCTCATTCCTAAATCCCTTAATCCCAGGACCTCATCCACGACTTCCTCAATCCCTGGAGCTCATCCAGGAATCCATCAATCCCGGGAGCTGATCCATGAATCTCTCCATCCTGGGATCCATAAACATCTTCATCACAGGAGCTCATGCATAAATCCCTGCGGGGTCTGGGGGGTCATCCACAGGTGAGACCCTATAGATCCACCCCATGGAGCCACCCCATGGAGCCCCCTGACCCAGAGATCCGCCCTATAGAGCCCCCAGTCCATCCCAGTTCCATCCCAGTTTTTTCCCAGTCCCCTCCCAAATCCCCTCCCAGTGCCCCCAAATCCCCCTCAGTCCCTCCCGGTCCCTATGAATTCCCACTTAACCCCCTTCTCACTCCCTCCTAGTCCTTCCCAATCCCCTCCCAGTTCATCCCAGTGCCTCCCAGTCCCTCCCAGTGACCTCCCTGTCCTCCCTGCAGGAACATCAAGGCCGGGAACATCCTCCTGTCACCCCCTGGACTGGTCAAACTGGGTGACTTCAGCTCGGCCCCTGTGGCCTCCCCAGCCAATTCCTTCGTGGGGACCCCTTACTGGTGAGACTGGGGGGGACTGGGGGGGTCTGGGGTTCAATATCTGTGGAGTTGAGGGGGTCCCAGGAGGGTTTGGGGAGATAAAATGGGGTTTGGGGAGCCCTGAAGGGGTTTTGGGGGGTCCTGGAAGTGTTTGGGGGGTCCCTGAGGGGCTTTGGGGGGCCCTTGGGGGGGCCTGGGGGATATGGGGGTCCTGGGATTGGTATTTGGGCCAAAAAGGGAGGAATTTGTAACAAAAAAAGAGCCAAAGAGGGGAAAACTGAATGAAAGCAATGGAATTTGGACCAAAAATGGGGAGTTTGGGGAAAAAAAGGGGAAATTTGGGGCAAAAAAGGGACAGTTTGGATCCAAAAAGGGGCACTTTGGGCCCCCCAAAAATTGGGAAATTAAGCCCAAAAGGGACAGTTTTGACCCGAAAAGGGGGTCCAGGGAGTATTTCAGGGGGTCCCAGAGTGATGGCAGAGCTCAGGAGGAGCTGACAGGGTCCCACACAGGGTGATACCCAATGTTGGAGGCAGGTACTTCACCACTACAAGGTCAAAATGCTTTTAGTCTCAAAACAACTTGATTTCAGTGCAGCAAAAGAGCTTGAAAAATAACTTCTTATGAAGTAGGAGGTCTTTGACTTCTGCCACTTTCTCTGTATTTTGTGTTCACCACCACAGTTTTGCATGAAATCAATTCGTAAACACTTTTTATATGAAGTAAAAATGAAATTGCTCTGCCTTTGTTTTCTAGAAGCACTTTGGTTAACAAAGAACCTGACAGCATGTTGGCCCACATGTTTAAAGATAAAGGGGAGTATATTGAAATAAACTTTATGTTTTTAAATAATAAATTAGCAAAGTAAGCAAAAGGCACTGTCAAGCTAAGAATCTAAAATATCAGAAGTATATTAAAGTACCAAAGAAGAAGATAGAATTATTCTTTTAATAATTTTTTATTTCTCTGTTGCCCACCTGTTTATCATCTCACAAAGTGAAAATACAACTTCCCTCCACAGTTAGTATTTTGGGTGCTTTTTTGTTTGTTTGTTTGATTGATTTTAGGTTTTCATGTTATTGTTGCTCAGTTTCCTCAGGAGAATCCACGAGCAAACACTGCCCGGGGCAGCCTTTGGGAGACAATCAAACTCAAACCTTAGTGCTGCTTTAATTCTTATGCATTTGATAAAATATTTTAGTTATTTAGAGCAGCAACAAGTTCATTTTAAGGTGATTTCCCCCCCCACTCCTCTTTTCCTTCCTTTACAAAACACCCTTTCAGACGTGGAATTTTCACATCCCGCTGCCTTTGGTAATAAAACTCTGCAAGTGAAGCAAATCTATTAATAGATCAGATTTAATTCTATATATTAATATATCCTATTTAATTTTATATATATATATGTTGTGGAAAGAGATGCTTGGGGGAACAAGCAGGATCATAGAGGAGCATTCCTAATTGACCACAGTCTTTTGAGCCCATTTTGAGCTATTTATGTCACGGACAGCTCCTTGTAAATGATGGCCTTAATTTGCCAGGTAGGTATTACCTGTTAGACATGTGAATTATTCCTCTTTGAGAGTTAAGCTTTGCCCTCCAGGTGAAGCCAGAGGGACCTTTGTGTGCTCATCTCTGTGGTTTTCTTTGGAGTTTATTTCCTCAGGATTTATTCTCGAGCATTGCAGCTCCACGTTGATTGATTTAATGAAGGTATTGCTTGATTTAATGAAGATTACTTCATTTAATGAAGATTGCTTGATTTAATGAAGACAGGCTCTTTGTTTATCTTGGGAGCATTAAAAGTTGTCCATCCTGGATTCATATTTGGCTGGAATTCTGGAGCTGACACCTTTAACCCAATGCTGGTGTTGCAAACATCCTGGCTGAGTGATTTTTTTCCTTTTAGCTGCAAGCAAGCTTTTCCTCTGCCCAGTTACATCTAATACAATGGCTGTGGTTGTTCTCCAGCAGGGAGAAGGGTGATTTGTGGATTAACAGTTCCCTGGAAATAACAAACTCTTTGTTTCCAGGTGTCCTGCAGGAAGCCAGGTTTTTTGGTGTTGATTCACTAATCAAACACCTGGAAATAGCCATGAAGGTAATTTGTTTGAAGACCTGAATGCACCTGCCCTGCCCTTGCAGGGGATGTGTAATTTAGTGCTGTCTGTGTCAGCTGTTGAACAACATTCCCAACAGAATTCCCAGCCAGCTGAGGATCACTGTCCCACCTCTCAGAAGGAGTTTGTCCGGTTCCTGCTGGCAACACCCCCCAAGTCCGAGCTGTGCTGTCAGGTGAAAAATGCCAAACTAAAGAACTGTAACCTCAGGGGAGCAACGTTGGCAGGAACTGATTGGGAAGTGAGTTAGGATTCATTTTCCATCCTATTCCTTTCTCTCCTCTAGTCAGCTGGGAATTTGGGGGATTGCTGGCTTTTGGCTGACCTCTCCAGCTTCAGAGCACAATGGAGTTCAGGTGAATGGACTTCCAGTAAAGGTTTGAACAGAGTTCTGGGTGCATTCCATTGACACTTCTTTTTCTTTTCCCCTTCCAAATTGTGACCTATCAGGTTGTGACCTCCAGGAAGCCAATTTGAGGGGCTCTGATGTGAAAGGAGCCATCTTTGAAGAGATGCTGACCCCCCTGCACATGTCCCAGAGCGTCAGATAGGGAAGAGAACACGTTGAAGAGGAAGGATTCCAAACATTTTTTGTGATTTTCTTCACCTCCTCCCCTTCCTGAGTTAGAAGGAATGGTTATTAGACAACTTCCATTTGCAGTAGTGCCTAAGTAAACTCTTTCTGATCACTTTTGGGGAGGGAATTTTTGTTTCAGAGGTGGAAACATGAGGTTTCTCCCTTTGTGAAGAGAGTGAGGAAGTGGGCTGGTTCTGAAACCAGAAAGTGGGGCTGGTTTGGGGGGGAGGGTTCAAGACTTTCATTGTTTATCATTGCCTGACTTTGGAATGCATTTTAATGTCTAAAGCACAATATATGCAATTCTATTTGTTAAGTCTGTAGCTGCAATATGAATAGAAAATGTTATTGCTGTATAGTAGCAAAGAAAGTGGAGGTTTACAGGTAGACAAGTGTCTTTACAGTCAGTGTCCTCATTAATGCCAGGGGTGGTCACACAGTGCCCACGGGATGTGTTCAGGTCTCTGCTGGGGTGGAAACAGTGGGGAACTGTCCTCAGAGGTCCTAAATTGCTGTGGAGTGGTTGGAGTGCAGGGTTAGAGCAGCTTTATCCCCTCAAATGTGCAGAGGAAGCTGCTGCCCCTGCCCAGAGCCTGGATTGAGTTCCCCCTGGAAGATCCCTGGGCAGAAATGGGCTGTCTCAGTTAATCCTCTCCAAATGAGTGTGGAATTGCACTCTCAATCCCAGCTGGGAAGAAAAATTCCCCTGCTTCCACATGTCCTGACCACTCCAGACTGGAGTTCCTGTAGCTTTTTGATTTTTTGTGGGAAATTCAATGGACAGAGGAAAACACAGAAGTGTCCCCAAAGCAGAGAGAAGCTCTGGGGCCACAGCACCTGCTCCCCCTCTTCTCATCCCTTCAGCAGATGAAGAAATGGCCCTGTTTCCCCTCAATGTACTGTGGAAATCCTCCTTGAAAGCATGGGCATAATCCCATTTGCCAGCCAGATCCACTTTGGGCTGCCTAAAGTGGCTGTAAAAGCCTCTTGCCTGGGGCCAAGTGCCCCTTCCACACTTGCTTTACCTGTGGAAAAAAGCAGGAAAAGCTGTTTTTTGTGTGAGCACCCTTTGTGTCTCAGTGTTTGTGATCTTGGGAACCCTCACAAACCTGGAAAAATGCCAGATTATCGGTTGTCTTAAGATTTGGACCTGGAGATTGTTTTGATATGTGTTTATATCTTCCTTGAAATACAACTGAAAGAAAACAATGTAAAAAAAAAAAAAAAAAAGGAAAAAAAATGGAAAAAAAGAAAAAAGAAAAAAAGGAAGAAAAAAGAGAAAAAGCAGAAAAAGGAGAAAAAAGAGAAAAAAGACAGAAAAAATGAGAAAAAAGAGAAAAAAAGACATGAAAAACTAAGAAAAATGAGACAAATAATAAAAAAGAAAGAAAAAAGGAAAAAACGAAAAAAGAAAAAGAGAAAGAAAAAAGAAAAAAGGGTAAAAAATAAAGCAGAAAGAAAAAAGAACAAAAAAGAAGGAATAAAGAACAAAAGCCTTATTACCCTCACTCCGCTCACGTGCAAATGGCCGCTGTGACCCGCCGCAAGGACTACAACTCCCGTGGTGCCCCGCGCGGGGCGCAGGCGCGGCGGTGGCCGTGCGGGGGCGTGGCCGCGCGCTGATTGGCTGCGGCGGTGTTCTCTAAGCACGGTGCGCGCGCAGAGCGCCGTGTTGACTTCCGGGAGTCGTTGATGGCGGCGGGGCCCGCATTGTGCTGTAAGAGCTGGCGGGGGGTGCGGGAGAGCGGGGTCTGGGGATCCCCTCGGGGGCTGCGGGGAGCGCGGCTGTGGGTGGAAAGGCTGGAGGGCTCGGGAGGGTTTGGCGGGGGGGTTCGGGGGTTCCCGAGGGTCAGAGCGCGGGGCCTTGGAACCCTCTCGGGGGCCGCGGGGCCCGGGGGCCTCCCAAGAACCCGGATGTTCGATTCGGTTCCGAGAAAGTCCCTCGGAAAAAAACATCAAAACCACCCAACAGAAAAAGAACCCTAAAAAAGGGAAAAGTGAGAAAAAGGTGAAGGAAAAACTGCAAGAGCCAGGATGATTTTATTGCTTTGCTTCAGTTTTTCCTTGGTCTCCTTCTCAGATTTTCTGCTCTCTTCCTTTACAGAAAGCTCTTCTCCTGTTGTGTGGCTTTGGGGTCCCTGGGGGGTCCCTGAGGAGGTTTTGGGGGGTCTCTGAAGGGGTTTAGTGTCCGGAGGGGACTTAAGGGGGGGGAGGTTGACGGTCCCTGAATGTGTTTGGGAATCCCTGAGGGAGTTTTGGAGTCTCCGAGGGAACTGGGAGGTCCTGGGGGGCCTTTGGGGGGGTCTTTGAAGAAGTTTTGGGGGTTTCTAGTGGGTTTTTGGGAGTCCCAGACGATTTTGAGGGTTCTTGAGGGGGTTTTGGGAGTTCCTGAAAGGGCCTGGGGATCCCAGGTAGGTTTTGCAGGTCACTGAGAGAGTTTAGGGGGTCCTGGGGGTGGATGAGGTCTCTGAGGGGATTCGTGGGGTCCTTGAGGAGGTTTCGATGGGTCCAGAGGTGGATTTCTGAGGGGATTTCAGGGGTTCTGAGGGGATTTTATGGGGTCTCTGTGTTGGTGGACCGACCCCAGGGAAAGGGGATCCCAATGCCTGTCCCGAACCCCAGAGACCCCCAAAACTCAGCACACAGAGACCCCCCAGGGGGGCCCGGGGGTCCCCTAAAGCCCAGCAGTGGGGTTCATGGGGTCCCCCAACCCCCAGGGGAGGGGTCCTGGGGGTGCCCCCCAAAGTGCGGGGGGGAGATGAACCACATCCGGGTAAGGGGATCCCAGTGCCCCCAGTATATTCCTGTGACCTCCCAGTGATCCTCAGTACAGCCCAGTAACCCCCTCAGTGACCACCCAGTGTGTCCCAGTGACCTCCCACTGCCCCCCAGTATGGCCCAGTGATCCTCCAGTGTGCACCCAGTAACCAGCCAGTGTCCCCGTGTGTGTCCTGGTAATCCCCCAGTAACTCCTCAGTCCCTCCCAGTGTCCCTCCGTAACCCCCAGTCCCTCCCAGTGCTCCCTGGTTCCCCCCGGTGTGTCCCAGTACCCCCCAGTAATCCCCCAGTGCCCCCAAAGCCCCCCAGCTGTCCCCAGCGTGTCCCCAGATGCCCTTGGCCTTTCTATGGCCGGGGGGGGGGCGTTTTTGTGGTCAGAGGGTCCAGGGGGGGCTCCTGGGGGGAGATGGAGGGTTGGGGACATCAGGGATGAGGTTTGGGGACAGTGGAATTGGGGGTGTCAAGGGGGGAATTGGAAACACCAAAAGGGTCTTGGGGACATGAGGGGAGTCTCAGGACTGACCTGCTTGTAGGGAAGCCCCTCCTCTGCCCCTCTAGGCCCCATTAACCCCCCACCAAATGTCCCCCAACTCCCCTTTTTTTCCTTTAATCCTCTCCCCCCACTGATCCCTTTGACCCCCCAATGCCCACAAGACCCTTTTAACTCCCCCAAATGCCCCCAAAGCCCCACCAAATCCCCATCCAACCCCTCCAGATCCCCCCAAATCTCCCCCAGCTCTTCCTTCAAATCCCTCCCAACCCCCCCCAAGAGGGATCACCCGGCACCCTGGGACAGGAACACAGTGGGCTGTACTGGGGGCACTGGGCTGTACTGGGAGGGCACTGGGGGGGGCTCAGGTGTCCCAGGACAACGTGGCCCAGCTCCAGGAGAGATCTGGGGAGCAGTGAGGGGGTACTGGACTGTACTGGTCTGTACTGGTCTGTACTGATCTGTACTCCTCAATCCCCAGAGCCCCTCCCCAGCTCCCCCAGGACCCTCCCGCACCCCAAAGCCCCCCAGGCCCCCCCAGGCCCCTGACTTGGTCCTGCTGCCCCTTGAGCATCTGCAGCTCCTGCAGAACCAGGCATTTCATCAGCAAATGTGCAGGTGACACCAAGCTGGGGGTGTGTGGATGTGCTGGAAGGCAGGAGGGCTCTGGAGCACAAGTGGTGTGAGGAGAGGCTGAGGGAGCTGGGGGTGTTGGGGCTGGAGAAGAGGAGGCTCAGGGGAGACCTCCTGACTCTCTGCAAGTCCCTGCCAGGAGGTTGGAGCCAGGTGGGGGTGGGGCTGTTCTGGCAGGAAGCAGCAGTAGGACAAGAGGGCTGGGTCTGGAGCTGTGCCAGGGGAGGTTTAGGTTGGATATTGGGAAGGAATTTTTTGCTGAGAGAGTAATGAGGCCTTGGAATGGGCTGGGCAGGGAGGGGGTGGAGTCCCCGTCCCTGGAGGTGTTGAAGGTGAGAGTGGATGTGGCCTCAGTGCCATGGTCTGGGAAGCACGGCGGGGTTGGATCCAGGGTTGGACTTGATGATCTCGGAGGTCTTTTCCAACGTGGCTGATTCTGTGATTCTCTGATTGCCATTCCTGTGGCAGCACATGCTTGAGGCTCCATCCCCAGGGTGATGGAGATGTCTGTCCATATCTATCTGCAAGGTTAGTCTGTAAATGTGTGGTGTTAGAAAAGCAGGCTGAGTTCTGGGCTGGTTGTAGAAGGAGAAAGAAGCCCCCAGGCCAGTGCAAGCAGGCAGCCCTCAGCTTGCACCTGATGTCCCCTCCCTGCAGGTTCCTGTCCTTGAGCCCAGGCCCTGAGGTGAGGCTGAGAAGTGGCGCGGAGGTGAGCCCAGAGCTGTCCCTGAGGTGAGGCTGAGAATAAGTGCAAGGCAGAGGTGCTGCTGAGGAAGGAGAGCCCCGTGGTGGGGAAGGCACAAAGCTGTGTGTGCCCATCCCCGAGCAGGTGCTGTGTCCATCCCCTGTGTGCCAGGTGAGCTGGGGCTTTGCTGCAGAGCTGCGGGCGCTGATTTGAGCGGCTGCAAGTGCTGAGATGGTGGGCACCCAGGAACACAAACTGTGCCTGGCCACGGAGCCTGCAAGGAGGAGCAGAGACAGCCCTGGCAGTGTGGGGGGCCAGGTTGTCCCTGTGCCTTCCCCTGCAGGCCCTGGCTGTCCCTGCTGGGCCCCTGTCCATCCCCCCAGGCTGAGCTCCCCCCAGGAAGTGCCAGGTGAGCTGAAGCTGCTGCCATCCCCCCCTGCAGCCGCTGCCCCAGCCAAGGGAGCAGCAAAGGCAGGGCCAGGAGCAGAGGCAGCAGCAGGGGAGCCCTGGGGGTTCAGGAAGCTCTTGT